ACCTGCTCAGAGGGAACCTTTGCTACTGAGATATTTCTCCAGAACCTCAGCCACCTTCCATGGGAGTAGGGCCAGCCCTTTTCACGTTTCTGCCCTTTCTACCAGTCTCAATGTGGCTTCTATAAATCCTTGGTTATAAGTCTTCTATTCAGTTATTCTTCAATTGGTTATTTAGATTGACTGTTCTATATTTTAATTGTAATTCCAGTTTGGTCCTGGGAGGAGGTGAATGTAACATCCACCTATTTTACCACCATCGTGGATCTGGACCCAGTACATCTTTTTAAAAAGTTAACTATGGTCATTATATGACCCTTTTACCCTCCTTCTTCCAAAAAAAATACTTTAAAAAGATACCATATTAACTAAAGAACAAGGCTCAATCATATTAGCTTGGCTCAAAATTTCCCTCCTTCTCTTCTTTTAATCTTTGTGCTATCCATCATTCAGGCTCAATTCAAGTCACATTTCATTCAGGTAATTTTTCTCTACTTTCCCACCAAGAATGATCTTTTTCTTTAATTTCTATAGATTATAATCTACATCACTCCGTTGTGGGGAGTCGCTATAGGGTTAAGCCTCGGACTGACCTGTTGGCAAAGTCACAAACAAGTCCCTGCTTAGAGGGCACAGTCCTCTTAAGCATAATTAGGCTTGACCTTATAGCTCCCTAGATCTTACCTGGGAAGCTAATGGGCTGAGGGAAGTGCAACAAGAACAAAAACAAGTGAAACTCACAAGAACAGTGTAAACAAGTGAAACTCACAAGAACAGTGTAACTTTGGTAACCACTACCTTGTTTACCTCTGACTATAAAATAAAGGCTCAGCTTGCCTTGGGATCTTTCTCTGTGGCCTCAGCCAGGCACAGGAAGATCCACGGAGACTAGAGAGAGCTAGAGAGTTCTGAACACTGTCTCCATGTAAATCATTCTTCGCCGACTCCGTCCACACCTTTGGGAACCCCTGGACCACTGGGGCTGGACCCCGGCACTCCGTGGTATTTATTTTATGCTACCTTGACTTACTTGTTTTATATGTAAGGCTTTTCACTAGCCAGATAGCAGATTTTTATTGAGGGCATTGCACAAAAGACATGATTAATACATGTTTGATGATGAAGATGATCATGATTTTTTTTTTTGTTTCTTGGTATAGGATGGGGCAAAGGGACGATTATGGAGGTAGGGGGATGAATTAATGAGGTTTTTACAATAATAGTCCTAAAGGGTGATACGAACTTCAACTTATTGGTCCCTTGGCTCAGAGCCTCATTGTATTACCAGAAGAACTTAGTGAAATTAAAAAGAAAAGGATGGAAGGACTTGGGACTGCTATGGATTTATGTGGGGGAAGAAGGAGAAGGAGCAGTCACAGGTAACTAAACCTGAAAAACTGCAATAATGATAGTAACATTAACAAAAAAAGAAAATCAGGAGTAAAGGTCAGATTTAGAGGGAAGATGATGAGTTTGTTTTTAGACATACTGAGTTTAGGGTAACTTGAGTAACCACATGGACATGTCTAGCAAGCAGTGAGATGCATTTCTCCTCTTATTCAATTCAATTCAACAAATATTTACTGAACATCTACCATATGCCACTCACTATGCTGGCAAATAAAACACAACCCCTGGCCTCCAGAGCTCATGTTTGGGTAGAAAAGACAGACTAATGAATACCTATGACATAAGGCAGTAAATAGTATAATTAACTTATGTATAAAGTATTATAGGAATATAAATAAGAGACCAATTATTTTTTTAAATATATTCTATTGAGTTTTTACAGAGAGGAAGGGAGAGGGATAGAGAGTTAGAAACATCGATGAGAGAAACATCGATTAGCTGCTTCCTGCACACCCCCTACTGGGGATGTGCCCACAAACAAGGTACATGCCCTTGACCGGAATCAAACCTGGGACCCTTCAGTCCGCAGGCTGACGCTCTATCCACTGAGCCAAACCAGTTAGGGCAGGAGACCAATTGTTTTTTTAAAGCAGGTGAGAAATAGCTACGGAAGTAGTGATATTTGACCAGGACCTGAAAAGATAAATAGAAGTTTGTTCAATAAACAAAGAGAGAAATGACTTAAAGGAGTGTCTTGAGTAAAGGCACAAGACATGGAGGTACAAGGAATGTAGGGGAACAATAAGTAGTATGAAATGACTAAAGAGAATGGGAAGACAGAATAAAGATGGATGTACAAAAGAAGGAACCATAGTCAGACATTAAAGATAGGGATTTTGTTACACTCATCTTGGGAGGAAGTATAGTGTGATGGTTAAAGGTGTGGACTCCATGCCCGCATGCCCGGCCAGTATGGATTAGTGCTTGAGTGTTGCCCCGTGAACTAGGAGGTCATGGTTTGATTCCCAGTCAGGGCACATGCCTGGGTTGTGGGCTCAGTCCCCAGTAGGGGGCATGCAGGAGGTAGCTGATCAATGATTCTGTCTTATCATTAATGTTTCTATCTCTCTCTCCCTCTCCCTTCCTCTCTGAAATCAGTAAAAACATATTTAAAACTTTTAAAAACAGGTGTAGACTCCAGTTGGATATCCTGGGTCCAAATCCCATCTCTGCCACTTACTAGAGGTGTGGCCTTGAGCAAGTCACTTTGTTTGTGCTCAGGTTTTCTCAACTGTAAAATGAGATTAATGGTACCTGCCTCATTGAGTTGTTTTGGTGATGGAAAGAATTACTACAGTTGTATCTGTAGGGGACTGGTTCCAGGACCCTTAACAGATACCAAAATCTGTGAATACTCAAGACCCTTATATAAAATGGCATAGTATTTGCATATAACCTACACACATCTTCCCCTATACTTTAAATAATCTACCAATTACTTATAATTCCTAATATAATGTAAATGCTATATAAATAATTATTATACTGTATTGGTTAGGGGATGATGATAAGAAAAAATAGTCTGTACATGTTCAGCACAGATGCAACCTCATATGCCTAACTACATAGTACACATCAGCAACAATGTAACATTTTTTAAAAATATGTTTTCATTGATTTCAGAGAAAGGAAGGTAGAAAGAGATAGAAACATGTGCTCTGACCTGGAACTGAACCAGTGACCTCCTGGTGCATGGATGATGCTCAACCAATTGAGCCACACTGGCTGGGCTACAGTGTAACTGCCCCTCCTCCCCCCGAATATTTTCAATCTGTGGTTGGTTGAATTCAAGGATGCCGGACATGCAGATATGGAGGGCTGACTGTACATGTAAACTGATTAGGACAGTACCTGGCATATAGTGAGTATTATGTAAAGGTTATTCCAAAGCCTAAATTATAAGACACAAGACACTAAACCTACACCATCAGCAGCCTCAAAAAGAAGCTATAAATAAGAATAGTCTAAGTCTCCAGATACTCTAAGCACAGATCCAGGGAGCACTGGATGAATAGATGCATCTCTTATTCTCACATGAGTAGGAGTTCCTTGAGAGGGTGAGATTATTTCCTTGGAAAGGTAGATCCAATTTAGGGAAAGGGTGAGGAATCAGAAAAAAAAATTAGAATGGGCAGCGTGGGACTGTTCATTCAGAATAGTGGAAACTCTCATTTTAGCATTCACCCTTGAAAATGGAAATAAAACAAAATAAGGTTGAAATTCAGCAAGCACATTTTATTTCAGTTAAGAATAAAACATAAAATTGGCTAATTGGGGACCTTAGAGGATAAGAGAGGAGGCAGCAGAGTCCAGTGACAGGTGTTTTTCTGAGAATATATGAAGTAACTCTATGAAGAAAGCTAGCAATTGGAAATGCAGCTCTACCTTGCTAATGAAGCTCATCTGGCCCCTTGACGTTTGATGCTCAAGTAACCCATTGTCTGTTCCTCAGCATTCTAGAGCTCTGTTTGAGTGATCCTTGAATAGACTCTTGGAATGATTGTGCTTCCTGATGTGACTGCTCTGTGTGCTGCTGAAATGGAACTAAAACCTCATCTGCCCACCCAGCCAGCCCAAGGGTCTCGCTTGATAGAATTCAGTTTGAATTTTGGTTTTACCACTTACTAGCTGTGTGATCTTGAGCAAGTCACTAAAAGTCTCTGAGCCCCAGTTTCCCCATCTGCAAAATGGGGATAAAATGGCTCTATATTATAAAGTGTTTATGATAATTACATGTAATAATTTATCTATAATGTAGTTGGTACATTAAGTGTTTAAAAGATGTAAGTTGATTTCCCTTTCCTTTTCCTTTACACTTGGGTAACCCAAAGATCCCCTGCTCTCATTTAACCCTTTTTGGAGCTTCATGCCATCTAGTGTTAGTAGAGATGGAAAGAAGGAAAAATAAGTATATAGAAAAATAATCAACAATGATGGCTCTTTTTCCCTAATCCCACCCTGATATTGCAATCGAAATACTTTGATGTAATAAGTATCCCCAAACCAGAAAGGTATTCAGATACTGGACAGCTCAAGGTGAGAAATATCTACTGAGACATGATGACAACTATGTGAAAATTTATCTACACTCATGTATTTATTGTGAATTTATAGCTGTACATTCATATATTTTAAAATTAGAAGGGAATAAGGAAAACTGAAAACACTTTTGTTAGGATGGTAGAAATATGTTGTAATATTATCTTGATATCATTGCTCCTGTGAAGAGGAATACTCTTTCCCTGACATACTTAAATTTCCTTACCCTCTTTCCAAAAGAACAGCAGGAGGACAGGGTGCTGGAGTAATGGGAATTGCACAGTGGGAATAATATGCCCCCATCTCATCTGTCCTTCTGCCCAGCCTTCCATTAATCATCATGATCTACCAGAGGCCGGAGAGTTTCCTGTCTGTGGTGCTTCAATGTCCTTGCATCATTAATATCATCATCTCTACCCTTCCTCTAGGAGTGGATCTTATGAGGGAGGTATGGAAGAAGTTGTGCATGTTTTGCTGTCAGTCTGAACCTTTCAGAGATCCAGCAGAGGACAAAGGCAGCAATCACTGTATAATATTCTGGACTTTCTTGGCAGGTGAATACTGCTATGCATGAGGCAAAACTTATGGAAGAATGTGACGAGTTGGTAGAGATCATCCAGCAGAGGAAGCAAATGATTGCTGTCAAAATCAAAGAGACAAAGGTAAAGCACAGCACTTCAGTGAGGTCAAGGCAAAGTTGACTTTACAAAAGTTAAGGTTTTATGCTGAAGATTCTAGTTTGAATTTGGATCATGAAAGCAAGAAGAAATGAGGTTTTAGGGAGAGAGGCAAAGAAGCAATGTTTGGCTTAATGCTGCGAATCCCATAAAAATGCTGGCAGTTCTAGGGCATTGGAAACATTCTTTATCTTTACCTGGTTGGTAGTAACATGGGTATCTGTATATGCAAAAAATCATTGAGTTGCTCACTTCACATTTGGGTGCTTTGCTGTATGTATGTTACTAGTATAAGTCAATATAAGAAAAAATATAGTGGTAGAAATGTGGGCCAGAATTAAGGAAGGACCATGAATGCTATGATAAGGACTTTGGGTTTAATATGAAAGACATAGGTAAACCATTCTAGTTTCTTAGGAAGAGAAAAAACTGATTGATATGACAGAGGTGTGCAGGGTTATATAGGAAGCAAGGTCAGAGACTTATGGAATGATTCTTGGTATAAGTTTATGAAGACGTAACCCAGAGAAGTGGCAGTACTAACTGAAGGGAAGAACATAACAGGCATCTCTAGAAGGAAATTATGGGAATCATCAATTGATTAGGTAGAAAAGATGAAGGACCGAGAGAAGACTTCTAGGCTTTTAGCTTGAGAACTGAAGAATCATAATCAAGAAAGTCAGGTATGAGACTCCATGAATCTATATGGTTTTAGAATTGTGGGTCTGCTGGTCAGGGTAGTGATTAAAACCTCATGCGGTGTATACAATGTGAGATGTTATGAGAGCCTGGAGTGGTGACCAATACTTTATGCCATACTGGGTGGTTCCAGCTAACACAGGAACTGAAGTTTTCGAGAACACAGATCTGTGAACACACAGGTATGTGTAAAGATACTTGGAAAAATATATACATAGAAATGTAGAGCCTCATAAAGAAAGAGGAGGTACTTTTTATTAAACATGTATGTGAAAATGTATTGACAATAAAATGTAAACAATGATCCCTGGGTGGTAGGGTGATCCCTGGGTGGTAGGGTATCTTTTTATATTTTACTTTTCTTTTCTTTCTTTCTTTATTTTGTCAATCCTCACCCGAGGATATTTTTCCATTGATTTTTAGAGAGAATGGAAGGGAGAGGGAGAGACACAGAGAGAGAAACATTGATGTGAGAGAGACACATTGATTGGTTGCTTCCCACACACACCCTGACCTGGGCCGGGGATCAAGCCTTCACCCAAGATACCTGCCCTTGACCAGAATCGAACCCGGGACCTTTCAGTCCTCAGGCAGATGCTCTATCCATTGAATAAACCAGCTAGGGCTATTTTCTACATTTTCTATATGAGCACGCATTGCTTTTACGACCAGAAAAATTAACGTTATCAATAAAAAGAGGAGCAGATAATCTAGAGTATATGACTGTGTTGCAGGGTAAGTAAGCAGGCTGTAGGTAGGAGGAGGGGTTGGCATGACAGACATAGAGGGTAGGGTGAGAAGGTGAATGGTTAGTAAAGAGACCGTTGGATATTAATGTGAATTGGCCTTATTTTTAGAGTCACTGCGGCAGATCTCCTTCCTATTGTTTTATTGTTTTTAATTAAGCACTGGATGTTTTCTCATTTTTCTGTTGCTAATTATTTTAAGGTTATGAAACTGAGAAAGTTGGCACAGCAGGTTGCTAATTGCCGCCAGTGTCTTGAACGGTCAACAGTCCTCATCAACCAAGCTGAGCATATCCTGAAAGAAAATGACCAAGCACGGTTTCTCCAGTCTGCAAAAAATATTGCTGAGAGGTGAGTTCCTTATATTCTTTTGACATGCCTGCTCTTATGAAAAGGGGCCAGCTTAAAGTCATTTAATTCTGTTCAGGCATGTATGTAGCAGTTGCCACCTGAAGATTTTACCAGCTAGTTACTTACTAAGCCTCGGTGATGGATTGCCCTGTTGATTTCTGTGACCCTTCTCTGCCTCTGCAGCCTACCAGTTCTTCATTTGCAAAGAATCTGAAGTCTACAGTGAAACATTGTTCATTATAGTCACCAAGGCTTCAAGGGTCAATAGGAGCCCATTAGGCCAGAATTGATCTCCTATCTCCTTCTCATTCATTGAAGACTTTGGCTCCAGGTTCACAGTATTCTTTTTATTGCTTCTGCCATTAGTTTGGTGATGTTAGCAGCATCCACATAGCTGACCCATCTAATACTCTAGCCATCTAGTCTCCTGGCTCTTTGCCATATCCTCCTCCAGTGACCCTCACTTCTTTCTACTCCACTCCATCCACCCAATTCCATGGCCCACATGCTAAACTTCACCATCACTTATTATTACACTTAGATCATAAATAAAAACATTACAAATTCTAACTACAACCTCTGTATTTACATTTATCTGTTTTTCTTCCAGTACATCTATTCTTCCGCTTCATTGGGACCTCTAAGTTCTGATTCCTACCTACCAGCTACTGACTGTCTTCACAACTGCCTTCACTTCTTTCTTTGGCCTATTTAGAATCTGTGATTTTTCACTTCAGCTACTCTCTTTAATAACCACAGTTCCCTTGCCCCACTGCCTTTTTATCACACCATCCTGATAATAGGCCAACTCATCTATTCCCACATTTTCCATGCCTATATTTGAGTTGCAGAATCCTGCTGGAGAAAATCGTATAACCAAAGATTTTGGTACTACTACACCACAAATTCATGGCCTCTAATCTTACTTTGGCTCTTAGTACTGACCTGAAATCCTTCGTGTTGCTTTGGTCAGCTTTCTTTTTTCCTTATTTCAATAATAGCTATTTCAAATTTTCTGTACTCATCTCAAAATTCCAACCCTGCCACCTTTCTGCTTATGCTCAGCAAATGAGTTTACCTCTTATTTTACAGAGAGAGTGGTAGGTATGAAATAGTAAATTCCTCAATATCCCATACCAAACTGCAGGGCATACTTACAACTACATCCGTCACGTTCATCTTCCTTCTGGTTATAATGGAAGAGATTTTCCTTCATTTGTGCTTTGGTCACATGCCTTCTTTTTCCTTACTTTAATTTATTCACCACTCTAGTAGACCTCACATGCACTTTTAAACTCATTCATGTCTCACCTATCAAAAATAATAATAATACCCACAACTTTCCTCTACCTCCCAATTCCTGTAGCTATTGCTCTATCACTCTCCTTTCCTTCACAGAAAATTTCTTAAAAGATTTTCCATTTCATCACTTCTAATTTATTCTTAAAAAAATTTAAAGCTCTTTATATTAAAGCAATACTTGTGTAATTAAAAAGTCAAATATTACTAATAGTCATATTGCAAGAAATAACAATCCTCTACTCACCCCAGTTTCTGATCTCCATCAATAATACTAAGCATTATTTATTGTTGGGCATTATTCTAAGTATTAGCTCAGTCCTGAGAAACCTTTTTAAGATAAACACTGTTATTATTCCCTATTTTTTAAATGAGAGAATGAGCATCAGAGAACTTGGGTGACTTGACTAAGGTCACCCAACTAGTAAGGAGTAGAAGTAGGATTCAAACCCAGGAAGTCTAGTGCCATAGTCTACACTTTTAAAACAAAGCCAAGTAATTTTAGCTCTATTAACTGTTTCTATTGGCATAAATTTTATGTTTATGCTTGCTTATACTGCTATTTTATAACATGCTTATACTGCTATTTTTATTCAATTTCATTTTTTAATTTAAAAATTTTATTTCATTTATTGGGGTGACATTGGTTAAAAAATTATGTAGGTTTCAAGTATACAGTTCTGTAATACATCAACTGTATATTGTATTGTGTTTTCAGCACCCCAAGACAAGTCAGTCTCCTTCCATCACCATGTATCCTCCCTATACCTTCTTCTACTTCTACCCACCCCACTTCCCCTTTGGTAATCACCATGCTGTTTTCTGTGTCTATGACTTTATTTTTTGCTTAATCCCTTTACATTTTCCACCCAGTCCCTCAGCTCCCCTCTCCTCTGACCACTGTCAGTCTGTTCTGTAACTATGAGTCTGTTTCTATTTTGTTTCTTAATTTATGTTGTTCATTAGATTCCACATATAAGTGAAATCATATGGTACTTTTCTTTCTCTGACTGGCTTATTTCACTTAGCATAATGCTCTCCAGGTCCATGAATGCTGTCGCAAAAGGTAAGATTTCCTTCTTTTTTAATGACCAAGTAATATTACATTGTGTAAATGTACCACATATTTTTTTATCCACTCATCTACTGATGGACATTTGGGCTATTTCCAAGTCTTGGTTATTGTAAATAGCACTTCAATGAATATAGGGGTGCAAATGTTCTTTAAAATCAGTGTTTCAGGTTTCATTGTATATATTCCAAGAAGTGGAATCGCTGGGTCATAAAGCAGTACCATTTTTAATGTTTTGAGGTAACTCCATACTGCTTTCCACAGAGGTTTCACCAATCTGCATTCCCACCAATAGTGCACAAGGGTTCCCTTTTCTACACATCATCATCAACTCTTCTTGTTTGATCATTTATTGATGATAGCCATTTTGACAGGTATAAGGAGACACCACACTGTAGTTTTAATTTGCATCTCTCTGATGATTAGTGACTTGGAGTACCTTTACACATGTCTATTGGCCATCTGTATGTCCTCCTTGAGAAGTATCTACTCAGGTCCTTTGCCCATTTTTTGAACTTTCTATCTGATAAATTTCTTCTCTCCACTTCATTTAGCTCTACTGGGGCTTGTTTTTTTTTGTCTCCCTATTTTGGCTGCCTGTTTGGGTTTGTGTCTATGTATTAGGTAAATCTGCTATTACCCCCAGTCTCTAGGGCAAGACAATGTCAGACACTGTTTGTGATTGACCCTGAGTACTGTTTGGAGCTATTAGCAATCCACAGCTGTGGCTTCCTTTGCTGGGACTGGGTGCCTTTGCAAAGGACCAAGATGTGCACCAAAGTCTGCTTTTTCTAGCCTAGGTCCAGAAGGAGATTAGGCAAAGACTCAAAGCCTCCAGAGATCAGCCTCTGCCTACAGTCTGATTGTTATTCTGTCTTAATTATCCTCAGGCTATAGACCATAGAAAGGTGTAAACTCCACAGGGTAGGGCAAGAGGTTTTCCAACAGGGTGGGGCAATTGCTTCCCCCAGGCAAAAGCTGCCTGGCTAATAAAGGTCTGCCAAAGAAAGATGTCCTCTGCAGTATGAGGGAATTACTCAGCACAGGAAACCTGGGTGGCTGCCTTCTGAACTCTAACCCCGGAGCTCCCTACCCTGAAATCTCCTCATTCAGCTCTAGTCCACCCTGCCCTGCCTCTTCCAGAACCCAAGGTGAGCGGCTGCACACAAAATTTTGTGTGTTGGCCCTTTAAAAGGTGCCTGCATCTCCAGCAGTCTCTCACTGGCAGACAGCAACCCTGCTGCTTTCACCACCAGATATTATGTGGGCACCTTTCTCAGTTTTGGTGCTCTGGGCTGGGGAGCCCAGCTTGGGATTTAGACCCCAGAGTTCTTGGTGGGAACCCCCCACAGCTGAGATGTCCCTCTAGAACAGTGGTTCTCAACCTTCGTAATGCCGTGACCCTTTAATACAGTTCCTCATGTTGTGGTAACCCCCAATTTCATTGTTACAAATTGAACATAATTAAAGCATAGTGATTAATCACAAAAACAATATGTAATTATATATGTGTTTTCCGATGGTCTTAGGTGACCCCTGTGAAAGGGTCGTTCGACCCCCAAAGGGGTCGTGACCCACAGGTTGAGAACCTCTGCTCTAGAACCTCAGGTGTTGTCTGTGGGAGTCTGGCCAGCCCTTTTGCACCTCCGCCCCTCCTACCTGTCTCTATGTGGTCTCCACTTTTCATACTCAGTTATCAGAGTTCTCTCCAACTCGTCTTCATTTGATTATTCAGGATAGTTTTTCTGTATCTTAGTTGTAATTACAGTTTGGTCCTGGGAGAGTGTCAGCTTTCACTTACTCCACTTCCATTTTGGGAAAACCTTTGCCCATTTTTAATTGAATTGTTTGTGGTGTTTTTTGGTGTTGAGTTTTTTGTTTTGTTTTTTAATTTATTTTTTTTATTAAATCTTTATTGTTCAGATTATTACATTTGTTCCTCTTTTTTCCCCCCCATAACTCCCCTCCTCCCAGTTCCCGCCCCACCCTCCGCCCTCACTCCCCACCCACTGTCCTCATCCATAGGTGCACGATTTTTGTCCAGTCTCTTCCCGCATCTCCCACACCCCTTTCCCCCCCACGAATGGTCAGTCCATTCCCTTTCTATGTCCCTGATTCTATTATAATCACCAGTTCATTCTGTTCATCAGATTATTTATTCACTTGATTCTTAGATTCACTTGTTGATAGATGCATATTTGTTGTTCATAATTTGTATCTTTACCTTTTTCTTCCTCTTCCTCTTCTTAAAGGATACCTTTCAGCATTTCATATAATCCTGGTTTGGTGGTGATGAACTCCTTTAGCTTTTCCTTATCTGTGAAGCTCTTTATCTGACCTTCAATTCTGAATGATAGCTTTGCTGGATAAAGTAATCTTGGTTGTAGGTTCTTGGTATTCATCACTTTGAATATTTCTTGCCACTCCCTTCTGGCCTGCAAAGTTTCTGTTGAGAAATCAGCTGACAGTCGTATGGGTATTCCCTTGTAGGTAACTGAGTTTCTTTCTCTTGCTGTTTTTAAGATTCTCTCTTTATCTTTTGCTCTTGGCATTTTAATTATGATGTGTCTTGGTGTGGTCCTCTTTGGATTCCTTTTTTTTGGGGTTCTCCGCGCTTCTTGGACCTGTA